CGGCGAACCGACATTGAACCGAGCACGATCGATACGAAAGAATAGCAAGAAGAAAAGAGAAATAATTCGCGTTTCGGACAGCGAGGGTCACCGAGCGAGAAGAGAGATATTTCTCGTTTGACCAATATCGTAAAAATGCAATGTTTTACAATTAGCGTCGCGCCGCTGAATTATGCATCAAATGACCAAAATGTTAATCAAACAACAGCGCAACATTTACATCCGGCAGGATGATAATTTACTGTGAGCGATTGCGTGCGGTCAGCAGACGTAACGAATTTTACATTACGTAAAGTTCGACAGTTAGATAAGTACTTATTCTTTCGTAGCGTTTGCGACACTAAGATGTATCCCGCAAAAACGCACATATGCAACGTGAAAAATCTATAATACGATAATTTGTCCCTAAAAAAGAAGATTTGGAAAAAGGTACGATCACGTTATGTTTCTCGCAAAGCAATGATCGTCGTATTCTTACATCTTAAAGATGTATTATTACCTATTCTTACAAATGTGTTAATATTTATGCTGTAAATAAATTATGTTCATAAATATGAATATATATAAATTGTGTTTGTTACAATCTACTTTTCTTTAGTAACGCGTCTTTTTTATTGTTTACTTTATTTATTACTTTCATTCTTATAAATTAAAATTGAAAAAACAATGATCAAAAACAAATTTTTTTTGTACAGGTAAGTAATTTAAGGATAGAAAATTATTTATGTGAAGTTTCAATGCGACTCAGAGATTAGTTACAAAGATTTAGAAGAAATTAATATTGTGTTCGTTTACAGAACAATCAATTATTTTATATCGCAATGTAATTTGACATAAATCGTTTCAAATATTTAAAGCATTTGTATTAAAAATTGAGATTTGTATCATTATTTTACAATACATTCCCATACATTTATATTAGAGCATATAAATTTAAAAAATACTATAATATTTCTTATTGACTTCTTATTAATTTTTCCAAATAGTAAACCGTCGCTAAAAATTTTCTGTATTATTTTTAAATACAATTTAGAACAATCTGCATTTTTATTAACTTTTTCATTAATTTGTGAAAATATGTGCAGTCCATTCCTACTTCGAGCATAATAAAAAACTGAATAGTTATGCAATTTTCTTTACAATTACGTATAATGAATGCGCAATTGTGAAGACTAATTAGGAGAATATCTAAATGATATTCTTCGTTTTTTATTTAAAAGTTCTTGCGAAAACATTTATATGAATTAGAAACAGCTTTTTAAAATTCTTTTTGAAATTCTCTGTGACAGTCGTTACGACAAACGTTAACGAAACAGGTCAACATACAGCATATTGTGTATAATTACGTATAATTTGCAAACTCTAATTAAGATAAACGTCAGGACGATATTTGTCACTCACGGGATGTGCATTCAAAATACTGTCGATTTTTACTTCGTAATGAATAAAATAAGTTAATATTTTTTCATGCGACATAATCTTGCGAATAAGAGACAAAAGATGTTTTCCATTTCAACGATGAACAAGCGATTTTGCTCAATTAGTAAGTCTATGAGAAATACCAATAAGTGTTTTGTTAACAATTATAATTGCACCAATCGCACACCAATTTAGACAATAGTTCAAATTTAGCAAAATCGTTAATTATCAGCGCATACATGCGTAGAATTTGCTGTATTATCATAATAATGCACACATCAACGAAGGCGGTGAAATTCTTTGAACGAATTAAGGAAATCACGATTGAATTCCGCGTGCCAGAGCGTACTGCACGTCTATCCTTAGACGCGGCGGTTATGTAATTGCTCGGCACCGACATCGGCGATGGTTTGCAGTAAAATTCCTAGGTCGATCCGATGTGTCCGGCAATAGTGAATCAATAACGTCACGTCGTACCACAATGGGGCGGCTTAATAGAAAATCACGTAAATGTTACGTAAGTTGCTATCGAAGGCTTTAGCTGCGAATCATGGCACCGAAGGCTTTAGCTGCGAATCTTTACTGCGAATGGCAGATTATAAGTAAAAGATAAACATTTTTCCTTATTCGCTCCAAGCAACTCCCCGCGGCATTATTTGCAGCCAAGTTCAAGATCACGATTATCACGATCAGCCGATCGCGATTGAATGATTTATCGATCGGCTGGCTAGGCAGAATTGAGGAATGCGATTAGGAAGACGTTAATTGATGTTTGAACGCCTTCCTCTGGAAAGCGTTCCTCGGAACGATCTAAATTCTATATGAACGCACAAAAGCGAAACGTGACCCGTCGCGGACGACGCTGCGAGCGATTCCCGTGGGAATTGTTGCGCCCGTTCTGATATACCAGAGTTTCCTGATTCAATATCATGATCGACCTCGGAGCTTCATCCCCTAACCTACTTTTTCACGGGACCACCGCTGGAGCGGAGTCTTTCCAGAGATAATTCGTAATAAATATTTTCCACTTGATGATACAAGTCGATACAGGTGTCCATCTTTATTACTCACTAATTGTCTGTGACTACCAATGTAAAATTTAATAATATGATTGGGACCGTTTATATTAAAACTTGAAATACGAAGAGCCTTACCGTCCCGAGTGTTAAGATGTTGAACTACTACATATAATATACATTCATTTAAATTGAAATTTTGGGGGGATTATCAGATTGATTGTGTGAATCCGATAATTTCATCGGCTCGCAATTTAATTCTGAAAAATTAATTCAATTTAAATGAATGTATATTATATAGCAGTTCAACATCTTAACACTCGGGACGGTAAGGCGCGTCGTATTTCAAGTTTTAGTAAAATTTAATTTTAATCTTGAACTAACTCTCCTTCTTTTTCTAGTTATCAAAATTAGAAAAAGATAAAGCGAAGGTTGAGAACCGAAATTGAAGTTAAGCTCATAGATAGAAACGGACATAAATATCAAGATAAAATGATACTTGTGTCGATTTGTGTTACTAAATTCAATACAGATCAGATGAGACACGTTAATTAGGTGGCAAAAGATAATACTTTTTTTTAAGAACAAAAACATTGTGTATTTTTCACGCTTACATGCATGCTTTAAATTTTATTATTATAAAAAAAAAAACATGTTTAAAACATGATTTTTATCAATACTTAGTAGTAGATAACTTATACCGTCGCGACCAGCTGTTTACCTCACGACGATTACATCACAATAACGTCACATATGCACCGGATATATGACGCCATTCATTGTTAAAAGCTTGAGTAATTAGCACGTTCTGTCTTATTAATAAGCGATATGATAATTGATTATAAGATGAAACCATCGTTATTTCGCATGATTATTTTTCAAGCAGTGCACGACGTTACAATAGAGACTTCCTTGAGAGGAAAATTAATTGAGTCGCTGGTTAAATATTTTAATAAATAGAATTTGTACTTCGTTGGACATGTATATAGAGATGCACCTGCGACAGGTGTGCCGTCAATGTGTTAATCACTACGGAAGAAACATTGCAGCTAAATTATCGAGATCTTATTGAAGCTTAAAAAATTTTAAATGATGGATTGAATATAGTGAACAGAATTATTTGATTATCATAAAATTGAATTTTAAAGAGGTTTTAATGGCGAAGTGTTAGATCAAATTTCTAGTTCCGCTTTATATGATACTCATCAGTGCTACGTGCTCTCGTCCTTGTTTATAGAAGCTGCTATCCTTTCAAATTCGATATTTCCATGCTACATTCAAACCTAGAGATTACAGAAAACTTTAAACCAAGATAATCACAGTAATTAGATTTTTTTTTAATTTGAATTTTACAATTCTGAGACCAAAATCGAATTCAGCGATTCTGAAAGCTTTTAGAAAGCAAGATCTTTGATAAATTACTTTGTTAGAAAGCTCTGGCTGTCAAATATTTAAGAAAGAACAGGAAGAGAAAAAAGATAGTACAAAAAAAAGTTACATTGTCAGATAACTATCTTCGAAATAGCGTTTCACTATTCCTTTCTGTGAAGATTATCGCTTCTTTTCACTGAATAAAGGAAAACAACTTTAGTCGCATTATGATACGTTTCAACACATTAAAATACCAGCGACGGTATTCCGTTGAATTGTCAAGAGTGTCAATGTGGCAATTTCTTATTTTTCTTTTTAGTTAATGAAGATTCGTTTTGACATTATTTTTTATATGTGACTTAAAGTTTAAAAGTTTTTTCGCTAGAAAAAAATCTTTTTGCTAGAATAAAATAAAATTATAGTTTAAAACAAAGCTAAAGGCTTACTACACCTATTATACACATAGAAAAATATCATTCTATTGTTAAGAAAAGTGATTACTCAATTTACTTTTTTCCTTTTCAGTAATCGTTATCTTAACAGAGAACATTTTCTTGATAATAATCTTAAAATATTTATTACTATAAATATACTTAATATTTATTGCAAATTAAAAAAACTCGTTATACACTTAAAACAAGAGTTTGTTTTCTTTTGAAGAATATTATAAAATGAATGGAAGAAGCGACTTTATATAACAAGCAAATCAAATTTGTATTAATTTAATAATCTTGATTAAATCATTGAACTTACTAGGATTCAGAATATAATATTTTGAATAAATTTGATGCTTGTGGGAACTTATAGATTTGCGGGTATATAAACTTGTAAAATACATAAGCGATACTTTTGAAACCAAAAAGTACGTACTGTACACAAGTAATAATTACTTGAAACATATACTTTTCTGTGTGTAGACAAGAGAGAAGAGAGAGAGGAGGGCTAGCAATAAGCCTAAAGGATCATTTATACTGACTGTAAACTGTTGTAATTTGCTGTAAGAATGCAAGCTATAAGAAATTGATCAATCACGGTCGAATGCAAGGAGAATAAAGTCGATTCATTCTCCTCACGTTCAACTGTGAACAGTTAATTTCTCTTATAGCTTACAGCATAATTAAGTTAACAGTTTACCAGTAATAAATGCTGATCCTTAAAATCTAAACAAGCGAGACAAGCGCTTTTTTTCCTCACCTTCATATTATTCTCCACGACGTATTCGATGCTGCACATCTGATAGACAAAATAGGCACGCATCAACTCCATAGTCGTCTTGCTTTTAAAAGCGGCGATGGGGTCGTTAAACTTCAAATCGAGCGGGTCGATCTGCCGAGGTACCGCCGATTGTTGCTGCTGTCGTTGCTTCTTGACGTCAGTGGAGGCGGCGGCGGCGGCGGTGGAGGAAGAGGAGGGGGAGGTGGCATAACCACGCACCTGTGCAACCAACCGCAATGACGGTGGTGTCCTAGTAACCGCTGCCGTTGTTGTTACCGTCGCCGCCGCCGTCGTCACCGCGGCGTTCTCCAGGAAGCTGATCACAGCCAACGGCGAAGCGCCGCACTTGACCATCTTTTTGCCGGCGCAACATCGCCGCGGCACGCTCCTCAGAAACGCCATCGTTTTCGGCGCGCGGCAATGAAGGGAGACGAACGAGAGAGGGACGACGGGAGGGAAGGAGAAAAGAATGAATTATTAGGCGAGCGAGAGAGACCGTCGGCGACGCGGCTGACGGTTTCCGCGTCACCGAAACGGGATATCACTTTCTCACCGAGGCTGGCTTGGTTCTCCCTCAGGTCGGACCAAGGGATCGTTACGAGACGGGAAAGAGAGGATGCAGGAAGGAGCGAGTAGGACGAGTCGTGACAAATCGCGCGGATGATCGGCACGTCGACGACAATGCTGGGAATAGATCGAACCTTGTTCGAGAGATCGAGTTGGAAATCTCGGTAAGAGAGCCGGACGAGGGTACCCAGGCGAAACTGTCGGTTTCCCCGACGTGCAGGAAATTAGGATCTTGTCGTTGCCGCCGCTGCTTCTGGTTGACGTCGAGGCTTTCGTCCCTTCTCGCGATACACTCGATGATGCTCGATGACGGGCGCGTGCGTTCGGTACGAGGAATCACAGAGCGAAGCGACGCGGCGGGACTGACCGGTGATGACCGGGTGACGGCGGCGGCAGCGGCCCCGTCGTCGTGAGAGCCGATCCTCGACGGTGGGAACAGTTGGGACTGTTGGGAGAGCGCGAGTAATAGCACGGCAAATGGCGACCGGCCGCTCTACTCTCTGTCTCACGACGCGACGGGAATATTGATTTTCGTTCGCCGGGGACACCACGTTCCGATTACGATACCGTGGCCACCGAGTCCGCAGTCGGCTTAAATATAACGCACCCGCGTCGATCGGAATTTCGTCGACGCGCGTCGTTCCCCCGACTAGCTCGCCGCCGTCGCCGCCGCGTTTCCACGACGCCGATTGGCCCGTCAACGGAGGTGTGCGCTGCCGACCGCCAGCTCCGATTGGCTGTCTCTCTCTCCTTTTTTCGCAAATGTGTGCGCGGAGACGCGCTGCGCACAGTGACGTCGCATTACCCGGAGTCATTAGAGCTTTCAATTTGAATATTAACAAATATCAATATTATCACCGACGAGATACTATTAAAGACCGTCAACCCTGGGCAAATTTTCGATATAAAAAGGGCCCGGAGGTAATTGAAGAATGCTGACATTATCGACAATTAATATAAATTTGCTATTATTAACATAAATATTTGGCTCATATATGATTAAATTCATGATTTTTTATTACATAAATGTTCCATAAAAAAAATATGCATACTTGTAAAACTATAATATTCTATATGTTGCAGAAAAATTACAATTTTTTTCTCTGCAGTTATCTCTGTTGATAATCAAACTTACGGTAGCACTGAAATCACAATTTTAAAGAACAATCGAGTATTATTGAGTTCTAAATGCATAAATATGTTTAGTAAACTAATAAATCATAAAATTAGTACGATATTTTCAGTTTTTAACTCTTAATTACTTCAATATTCACAAGGACGCCAACTCCCGTAAGGATGTCGGTCTTTAATATAGTATCTTGTCGGTGATATTATAAATATTAATAAATATTCTTAATATCTAGAACTCTACGGAGGTGTTTCCGTCAAGAGAGATGTTTCAAAGAAATAACTGGAAAAGTTGTTTTATATAATAATATAAAATAAGAAGAATTTTGCGTGACGTTTCTTGAACATGTGCATGCATTTATTAGGAATCGATAATATTTAATTTTTATTTGAAATTACACTTTTGTATTGTTATCCGTGCCTGCTCATTTATATGAGTGATGATTGTAAAAAAAAATGCAATTTCAATTAAAGTATTATATTGCATTGTAAATATAGATATTTATCAAGTATATTTGTATAATGTTAAATCATGAATATTTTATCGTAATCATAAATATTATATAGTAATAATTTGTTTGTTGAAATAGCTCGGACACGAACCGAAAAATCTGCACATGTTATCAGCAAAATTCCCTTTATCAAATAGAGGTTGAAGAAAGTGTACACAGATGGCGTATATGAAACTCATGATATCGACAATCGATATTAAAATAAATCGTTCTACTGCACTGGAAGCACTGTTGTAGGCGATTTTTGTAAACGTGGCTCTCGTGGAATGTGGATGGGCGCGTCGGACTGATAAGACTTGCCGACAGATACCTGCATTCGATAGTATCCGATTATTATTTAACAGGAGGTGTTTCCTGTTAGAGAATCATTGCGGCTGAATATGCCGTATAGCGAAGAGTACATTAAAGACAAGGTGATCGAGGGATTGAAAGCTGCGTATGTGGTACGTAGATCGACTTTTCTGTCTTTTCGTTTCTCTGTTTTCTTTGTCCATTATTTTTTTTATACGAAATAAAAGTGCATGACGTGACATTTTGCTAGGAACCTCCTCTCGAAATTCTTGCCGATTAGTTTCGATTTGAAGATAGCTATTTGGAGTGACAAACGAGGACACTTCTATGACGGAGAATGCAGGGAAAGCTGCAGCTTGCTTTCATCATCTCATTTGCCATTCTCTTGAGATGCTGCATTACTTACCATTCTCACAGCGGAGAGGGCAAACCTCCTATGTACGGAGATTACGAGGCCCAACGACACTGGCAGGAGATCACGTTGAATCTACCTCTTGATAAGTGGTATATTAATACCACAGACAATAATCTGCAATACTGGGGTTTAGATTATCCACCTTTAACGGCATACCACAGTCTCCTGTTAGGCCACGTTGCAAACCGGATAGAGCCTTCCTTCGTCAAGCTGCGAGAATCCAGAGGATTCGAGAACGCTGCGCACAAGCACTTCATGAGACTAACCGTCTTAATTGCAGACATTTTTATTTATTTGCCAGCTATCATATATTTTATAATCAATTCACGTTCCTGGGACAATCGTCAATTTAGTGAATCTAACATATTCAAATTTACAAGGAGAGACATTGCTGTTTTAACAGCATTAATCTATCCAGGATTGATACTAATAGATCATGGTCATTTTCAATACAATTGTGTGTCACTGGGTTTCTTTGTCGCCGCTGTAGCTGTTGTGCTGCAAGATTCATTCGTTATTGGCTCAATTCTATTTGTCCTAGCGCTGAACTACAAGCAAATGGAACTGTATCACGCTTTACCATTTTTCTTCTATATACTCGGACGTCACACACCTAGCAAGACGAGATCCTGGTCTCACTGTATTCGCATGCTGATATACGTATCCTTCGCAGTGCTGGTGACGTTCTATGTTATCTGGATGCCATTTCTAAAGAGTAGAGATTTATTTTTCAGTACGGTATCCAGATTATTCCCTTTTTCCAGAGGCGTATTTGAAGACAAAGTTGCTAATATTTGGTGCGCAATCAATGTTGTCTACAAATTGCGACAGATTTTCACGATCGAGCAATTAGCCAAGATCTGTTTAATAATGACAACGTGCGCAGTTCTACCGAGTTGCATTAGCTTATATTTATCACCTATGAGGAATGCATTTATACTGTCTCTAATAAACTCTGCTCTGGCATTCTTCCTTTTTTCATTTCAAGTTCATGAAAAGTCCATTCTCTTGGTTGCTATTCCGGTTTTACTACACTTTCACAATGATCCTCTCCCTTGCTTCTGGTTCTTAATCATCTCGCATTTTAGTATGCTACCATTATTTATAAAGGATAATCTGTACCTTGTTTATATTGGCACAATAATTTTTTATTTTTATTCCGTTTTTTGGATATGGCCCGATCTATTTTATAATGATAGAACAAACAGCTTGTTAAGTAAAGATAAATCAAAATTTAAAGGTAGAATAAAACAATATAAAAAAAGGAAAGTTTTCTCAGATTTATTAAATTATAAAAAGTCTTCGCTTTTGCTTGCATTCTATGGATCTATTTCAGGTGTGTTACTTCTGTCTATTATCAGCCAATTTGTAAAACCTCCTGAAAGGTATCCGGATTTATTTCCGCTTTTAGTATCGATATATTCATGTGGGCATTTTCTAATTTTCTTTGTATATTTTAATTATATCCAACTATTTGTATTCAGGAAAGAGAAAGCTGCAAGTAAAATCAAGTCACATTAAATGATGCAGCTACTGAAAACAGAGAATGTACAAATTGTTATATTTGTAAATAATAAATAACTCGAAATATTTAAAATCAAATCGATCCTTATCTTTTGCTATCCTTTTTCCGCGACGTTGATTCTTTCGCTACACTTTTCTCACACTTATTTCGTATCGTTATCATAAAGATTGTTTTGAGAAAAGACCTAACAAAGAAAAATTGTTAATTCTGTATGAGTATAATTTAATTCATTATAAACTTGATATATTGATTATGATTAAGTTAACGACATAATAATGTACATACATACAACAGATTATTTTACACCTGTTACGCATACGTCAATTCTTTTTAGCTGAATATCTTGTACAATTTATTTTCCTTTTTTTACTTCACATTGGAGAAAAAAAAAGTAAAATAAACTATACACAAGAAGTTTAATTAAAAATAACGGACTTCTTCTGTCTAAAGTTGTATGTACCAGCACGTAGAATAAGGTTTCAAAATCTTAAAATTTTTTCGAATAAAGTATAATAAAAAACGCCGAACGGTCGAAGTTAGATGTTACTAATATAAACCAAATGATAATAAGTAACGGGCAAAGTAAAAGTCAACACGTTTCTTTGAAATTAATAAAAGAATATATTTCAATTGACAAAGGTAAAATTACATAACGTTATCTTTGTTAATTGAAATATATTCTTTCGTTAATTTCAAAGAAACGTGTTGACTCTTACTATGCCCGTTACTTATTATCATTTGGTTTGTATAAAAAGAGTCCTTTGATTTGTTTACTTGTTACGAATATATTTAATCAATTTTTTTGTTCCAAATATGATTGCGCGCTGATAATTATCAGACTTTCAACACAATCATTATGAAACGTTTAATAATCCCCTCTAAATAAAACCCCTAAAAAAACAGAAAGAAACTTATTGCGAAATATTACCTCAGCCAGGGTTCGAATCTGGGACCGGTTTTATTCGTTCGGTGTTTCTTATTTTATTCGATTTATTCATACACGGTCGTTCTTCTTATAATGTTAAAATTTTTTATTAGCAGTTCAACATGTGTAAGAGCAAATTAAAAATTTAAATCTCATTTTATTTGTGATTGTTAGTTTTTGTAATACCTACAGATAATAAATGAATATACTAAGTCATGAAAATTAAATGATTGATATGCGTACACGTGTCTTCGTACTTATAATTTTCTTAAAATGCGAATAATTCAATGCTAGATATTTAACTTTATAATTGCTTATTCTATACAATCACAATTACAATTATGCTTTTATTAATATTAAATACACATAAACATAATTAACATAAATCAAGGCTAATGAGAGTCAAACGCTGGAGATCAGCCGCAAAATTTAAAAAAATAATAAAAATTTGTCGATAAATGATGTCTTCTTTGTTTTGAACGTTTCAACTCACTTTGGAGTCTTCTTCAGTAATGTAAACATAATAATATGAGATATAAATATGACTATTATTTGGGTTAAATATATAAGATGATGCTTGATTATATTTTTCGTTTATAATTATATAAAAACGAAAAATATTTGCAGTATATATATTTATACTTATATTTGTAATGTAATTTCTAAAATATCATCAGATAAATCTATCAAAAAATACCAACTGAATCAAGAATTTAATATATGAAATAATATATTACCCTGACATTTTTTTAAATTGCATCATTGGTAATATATTTTACAGTATACTATTAATAGAAAACAATTTTTTATTACACAGATTGCCAATATCTAGAAAACAAGATATGTGTCTTATGCATAGCCTTGAACGTTGCCTTAAGATTTCATCTTTACCTTAATTTACATCAATGTCAGTGCGACGTATATATGCGTTCGATATTTTTATAACATCATTATAATAAATCTCAATATTCTCTATTCTATATCCTAGTCTTAATAAATAAATGAAACATCCGAGTTATCTAATTTAAATGGCATTTATTAATAAATTTAAGTATAATGTTGTACCGCTATCAAGTATTTACATTCAGATGTATGTATAGATGTGTGTTCTGACTGTGTTTGACATTTAACGTTCATTTGAATATTGATGCTAGGAAAAAAATTATTTACGTTTGTTAAATGTCTGTTGATGGCTTTAGAAAGATATTGTTTGTAGTGCATTGTGTGTTACAGGAAGTAGTGGATCAATCCGACGGTTGTGGTGCGAAATTTTCAGTATTTGTCGTTTCTGATTTATTCCAAGGAAAGCCGTTGCTGATACGTCACAGGTAACATATCATTCTGAGATTATACATCAGTTTTAATGTTTCCTCATTTAAATTTCTTAATAAAATTCATGATACAAAGTTTTAAATAATTAAAATTTTGTAACCCAGGCTTGTGTATGGAGTTCTAGAAGAAGAACTGAAGACAATTCATGCCATTTCGCTAACAACATTAACACCAGAACAGTGGGAAAAAACGAAAAATTGACTGTCGAATCTTGTTAAATCTTTTTTATGGATAGCAAATTAATAACGAATTGATGAAAAAGCTAGTATTACTTATTTTTAATTTACACAACATAAAAAGATTCAAGAGTTTTTATATGGATGATCTTTCCTATAGATCATCTGTTAAATAAATACATATTTCTAACAGGAATCTATTACAACAGATCCAATAAATTTTAGTTCATTCAGTGTTATATCACTTTTTCGGATAAAAAAATTGTTAATCATAAGAAAGATGATAGACTTCAAAATATCTGCACCGGGCAAGGTCATTTTATTCGGAGAACATGCGGTGGTGTATGGAAAAACTGCTGTAGCGACTAGCGTAAACTTACGTACCATTGCTACATTCTCTGACCGGCAAAGAAAAGACCGTTTAAGAAACAGCATTAAGATAGAGTTTCCTGATATCAAATTAGTATTTAATATTCCTTTTCACGTATTTCAAGACTACTTCTTCAACGATAATTTTAATTATCCATTGGTCAAAGAAAATGATGAATTGCATAGACGTGTGAGTGAATTTGTCGATTCGATAAAGGATTTAGACGAGAGCAATGAAATTGTTACCGAGGAACAAAAATTAAGTTTACGAGCGTTCTTTTTTTTGTTCGCTTATATCCTTCATGAAGAACGTGTCAATCTACAAGACACTTCCTTCCACGTGCATTTATCCACGGAATTAAAAGTTGGCGCTGGTCTGGGTAGTTCGGCATCATTCGCAGTATGTCTTTCAGCAGGTATTCTACGTTGGTCGATTCTACAGAAGGACGAGCCACACACTAAGTTTAACAAGCGCGAGCTCGATAAGATTTCGAAATACGCTCTAAACTGTGAGAAAATTATGCACGAGTCTCCATCCGGAATCGACAATAGCGTGTGTACATACGGTTCGGTAATAAAATTTCAACAGGGAAAGGTGGTGGACGTGTTACCATATATGCCGAAACTGAAAATTGTACTGGTTGATTCGAATGTTACTCGGAATACAAAAGATCAAATCGAACGAGCAGCGAATTTGAAGAATTCATACCCTGATATCATCGTTCCTATTTTGGATATTATCAGTGGTTTGGCGGAAAATGCTTGGGACACATTTACAGAAATGAACGATCTCGCCGATGAAGCTACAGAATCTGTGCAATATCGTTGGTTTGAAAAGTTATCGGTAAATGTCATGTGTGTTTGTGAACTTCAATATGTTATTTTGTTATATACTCGTATGTTCTTATAACATTTTTAAAACTCATATACGTAATATGTTGGAAATAGTAATCATTTTTTAATGTACACTTTGCAGGCTATTATCCATATGAATCAAGGATTATTATTTACATTAGATGTGTCACATTTAAGCTTAGAGATGATTTGTGGAATAGCATCGGAACATTCATGTGAAGCGAAACTTACGGGTGCTGGTGGAGGTGGACATGCATTCATTTTGCTGCCGCCAGACATTGAAAGCGAATCCATCAATCTTTTGTTAAATCAATTAAAGGAAAAGGGTTTCGGTGCCACGATGACCAGTCTAGGTGGTAGCGGAGTGGAAGTAGAAAACAATTCGAAATGATTTATATATATTAGTAATTAAATATGAATTAAAATAATTATTATACAATGACATTCTTTGTGGAAGAACGGAGAAAAATATAAATTTATATATAATATTCTGTATACATAAATAATAAAGCATGTATTTGTTAAATAAACACACGAATTATCTATTAAAAATAGAAAAATAACAATAAAATATTCTTTCACGAAAATAATACATAACAATGTTAGATATGTCTACACGTATTAGCATCAAAATTGACTCGAGATAAGAGAATATATTTGCTTCATTCTTTTAATTAAAATATTAAATTTTGTAAATTGGAATTTATTTATAAGAAAAAAATTAATAAATATAGCTAAGATCATTTTGCTCCGGATCTCGCGATCTTCGAAGAATTCGCCCTAGTGGTTTATTAAATTAAGGTTTTTGCAATGCGATCTATAGAATGATAAAGACAACGTTGCTTATCATCTGTATAAAAATAATATCAAAATGATATGATCTAAGATTATTTTTTATAATATGCTTTGTAATAATTAAAATCAAAGTATATTTATATTTGCCGCATACATAAATTATTATCACTATGAAACTGCATTAACGTGAGTTCAAGAAATAATTATTTTCTAAAAATAAATCTTTTCGTAATATTTATGACTAGTGTAATATCAAAATGTATAAAGGAAGTTATTCGTTTGCGTTAAAATTTTATATAATCGTATCTTTTAGAATTCTATTAATTACTAAAGAGAGAAAATTTTTTTTTTAGAATTTAGTTTGAAAATAGTCTTGGGACATTGTACTTCGAAGAATTTTATATAAATTTCTCTCATTCATTAATAAAATTACAATAAAATAAGTTTGATCAGTTTTACTGAAGTGCACAGTAAAAATTTTTTAAATATTATATTATACAACTACCACATTTTTAGAGTAAATTAAAAAAAATTCTCTCCGTGTATAAAATAAAATCTTCAATATGTGAAGCATTAGCTTTTTTTACTATCAAGATATATTCGTTAATGCTTAAACAAGCTACGTTGTTGATAAATGCACTTACACGAATGTAAGTGAGATATTTATGTAAATTAATCTTCAAAATACGGTCTAAGTCAAAAGTCATTTAATTTACTGAGTAGGTATATTATCGTTTTCCTGATGACGCAAATTACCGTTTAGTATAAGATGATCGGTATCGGAGATGCCTCCATCGTTGCTTCCATCTTCCACATTATGTGTTACATTAGGTGTAAGTTGCTTTTCTTCGGATTTTGCTTCTGCTATCCATTCATTTATTTCATACGTATACATCTTTCTCTGTAAAACCTCTCGCGTTCGTGGCCGTGAACCGATGAAGAAAGTGCTTCCTCCAACAACTAAAGAGTTGCGTAGATCTTCCAGAATTTGAAAATCTTCGATTATGCATTGCAATTCATTCCATTTTAATTCCACTTTTTCGTGGAGCATTTTTTCTTCTAAAAATTAAAAAAAAATTATAAAATTGACGAAAAAGATCTCTATTGCTTAAGTATATATTTATTACCGTCATGCTTGGAAGTTGATTTTTTATACTGTATCCTAAATCGAAAAGCTTCCAAGAAACTGGATACCACAATAGTTAATACGATCATAGTCACCAGATAAAATATCATGAAGTATATCCTTGTGTACATGCCCGCAGTAAATGCGTATGCATCCATTTGTACATACCAATTATTAACAACTGTTAATTCGAAAAGTGTAATGCTACTCGCCATGAGATTGTCGAAAGTGTTAAGATAGTAATATCCCAACTCCGAGCTATCATTGACAGAGTACCGATAGAAATCTTTAATAGGTGTATCCCTATTAAACATATTTTAAAAAATTAGATTTATATATAAAAAGTTAAGAGAAAAAATGTATAATTATCGTAATTGATTTGATATTAACTGGCAGCAATCGCGCATGTCGTATCCGGCAAACAGTTCCATTCCAATGATCGCGAAAAAGTAATACAAGACCAGCATGACAATCGCAGTCGAACACATTTGGGAAAATAGAATTACGAGAGTGCCGAAAACATCTCGATAGCGTTTCTTAATCTTAAATAATCTCAGTGTTCTGAGAGGTCGGAACAAAACGAGAAATGTAGCCGACGGGAATATCATAAGAGCGCACATAGCGATGCTGGTCATTACTGTTGTCCCAAAATCAAAGAGATTCCATCCAGAGCTCAGATAAGATTGAACACCAAGAGCTAATACTTTTATGAATGCTTCAGCAATAAAAACTGTAAATTTATTTACATATTTTAATCATGGATTTTTTTACATTTTAAAATATTTTAAGAGATTATTTTTTTTTTACTCACGTTCAGCAAACAACAGAGTATCCCAACACGCAGCGAATGCGTGCACCGATTTTTCAAGACAGTTACTTGGTTCAAAGATTCTTATTATCATGGCGATACAATTACCGATAATGATCATATCTATAAAATTACAAATGATGAAATATAAGGCATTCTTATATATAAAATTATTTATACACATATTATACTTACACACCAAAGTTTCAAAATAAGACCACTTGATCATAGCATTGGCTCCTTTGCACAGCGTTTGCAAAGGCCACCACAGAGTGCGGTACCACGGTACATCAGAATATTGCAAGGACCACTGAAGTGTATTGGCGTCATAAATCGATAAGAATTCCTCGCAATTTAAAGCGCCATTTCCCGTTTTATTCATATGACAAAACATTAAAACAATGTCACATATGGCTACAAAAAACATATATTATTATTTAACATATATTATTAGTGTAGATATAAAATTATTTCTATTACTTTCAGAGTTTTGTACGGTAAAATTTGAGTACATGTTGTATGCGCGTTTGACAAAGAAATAATACTAAAGTTGATTAAAAAATCTTGTATACATACATTTATTCGGAGCATAATATCGCATCAATCCTTCAAATTGACGAAATCGTATCTTATCAGGGTTTTGTTTGGAAACCAGAAGTTCGAAAGCGTGTTGACACGCTTTCCTTTTGTGCAGGAACAATTTCTTGAATTTATCGCGCTCACAAGATGTGAATGTCTCGTTTACCACCGCCAGCATTAAATTCATCATTACGTACAACATGGTACACAAATAAGATACAAAGTATATCGCGTACCACTTATTTTGGGAATATGACGGCATCATTACATCCGGGAAGCTACAAAGTGTGTTGTCGATAAATTATATTATTAAATTAATTATATTCAGATTGTGTATCTACTCACTTGGCAGTGGTAAGAAGAACAAACAGGCTGACGAAGCTATCTTGCATTGTGGCGAAATGTCCGTTTATTTCACAGAACATATAATAGCCCAATACGGTATATATAATAATCAAGAAAAAAAGAAGGCCCAGCATATCTAGGATAGGTGGTAGCGTAAAAAGTATTTGCCTTACGAATCTCCTTACACCGCCGCAATATTTCGTGTCTATTAAAAAGATCGGTCTAAGGGCGCGCGTTACACGAACATGTGAGGATTGCCGTACTAGAACTGTCATAGCTTCGAGAAACATGATTGCTAATGTAATGCACTGAAATAGAAATTATTATGAATAAGAATATTCGAAAGAAGTCAATAACCTAGCTCCATAATCGACAGCCGTCGGTTACATTTTTCATAATCATTTCAAACCGTTATTTTCTATTCATTTAAATTTTATGAGGAATATTGCGACGCGTCTGACATTGCACTAATTCCAAAACTCATTATGTAAGTAAGCTAATAAGTCATTACATATTCGTTGCAGTATCCATTACTCATCCACACGATGCAGTCGTTGATAGTTAATAAATACACGATTACTGTCTGATACTCTATATATCGTTGCATAATAATGATCAGTCACAAGTGTACGAACGAGCAACTTTTGGATAATCCGATTATATGAATAATTCGTTTTTCTATCAACACACATGTGCAACGTTTCTCTATCAACACGACGTGTAAAGACACCTTCGTAAACACGTTACTAAACTATGATGCAGTATTCTTCACTATGAAACTTTTGTAATGTAGAAATATTTATGTAGAAATATTTCCAGTAAAAGTATCTTACTTTTAACATTGTACGTTTGTGTTTTAACATAGGTGCCCAGCCAGTCCATCTCAGCTTTAAAGTCAATTGCACACCGATAGTAATTAACGCAAGTAATTCTACCGAGCCATGCACCCATACTGGTACCTACGACAAAACATATACATGAAAGATATCGATAAAGAAAAAGTGGTATGCCGTTTATTTGTGCATGAATACTTTGAATAGCGGCAGAGCAGGCTCTTCTACAAATGCTAGAGATAAGAGAATTAACGAAATCAGTAAATCCAATCCATTGTACCAACTGTTATGGACTAAGAAATACGCCGGCATATCTTCAGGATGCCTTGGATGAGAATCAAATTTCTCATTGTTTCTACCTTCCTGAAATAATAATCACTTTGATGATAATGATAAAAATAATCATATCTTAGTCTTAACTATCAATAAATTATAACTTGACAGTACTTAACATCTCACATATATCCATAAAATATTATTTAATTATGAAATACTTACAACGTGAGAAATATAGACGTCTGTGTTACATAATAACTATATAGTAATGTTGCAGAATATAATGTACTACAGAATACAATAGGTATCCTTGAAAAAAATAATTGACCCACTTAATTTCCCGCAAGCGGAACAGATGCGCGCAAACATACATGTAATCTCTGCATTCTGTTAATTATTATCATTTTAGATAAGACTTGCATAATCAATATATAGTTACCTCTAAATATATTGCAGCTTCACGACAATTCATTTCCCAATGCATCTTCCAATGCACGTCGCACGTAGTGAACACTGTATTCTCGGTCATGCTTTCAGTTTGACTCGCTTCGCACTTATAATTCAGCTGATTAGCGTTATTAGCATTGCCAAATGACGACCTGACATGACTTCCTGAAGAAGGTGACGACAGCATGGAACCATATTCTGCAAGAAAAATCTGCAATTATCTCAATAATCGTAACATACCTTTAAAAGAAATTAAAATTTCTCGACAAATAATCAATACTGCAAT